ATTTAACTTCTAGTCCTAAATTTTATCTATATTTCAATTTGGTCCCATAGTTTTCAGAAAGTTCGTATCATATGAGTTCTGGCTCTGATTAATGGACGAGATTTGGGAGAGAGCGGTGGAGACGGCGTTAGACGGCGAGAGAAACTTCGGTTCTGTGCGAACCCTAACGTTAGACGGAGCTGTTAAGTGTATTCATGGTAAGTTACCTCCTCCGTCGATTTTCGAGAAGTTTCAGAATCTCGAGCACCTGTCGATTGCAAACATCGGTGTTTCGTCTCTAGAACAGTTTCCTCGGCTACAGAATCTGCAGAAGTTAATTTTATCGGACAATAGAATTGCCGGAGGCCTCGAGTTCCTCGTAGATGCTGGTTTAAATTCACTCCGGGACCTCGATTTGTCGAATAATCGGATTCAGGATATCAACGATCTCCGGCCGTTGGCTGAACTCCGGCTTGTGTCGCTTGATCTCTATGAGTGTCCGGTTACGCGAGTTAAGGACTATCGATCTAGGGTTTTTGGATTGATTAGGTCGTTGAAGTATTTGGATAAGATGGATGCGGAGGGGAACGAGAGGCCGGAGTCGGATGATGAGGAGGAAGATGAAGAGGAGGATGAAGAGGATGATCCGGGGAGTGGGGAAGTTGATGGAGAAGATCGGCCTTACAGGATGAATAATGGACACAGGGTTGGGAGTGAAGGAGTTGTAGATGTGGATGAGGATGAGAGTGATGCTGATGAGGAAGAAATGGAGATAACTCGAGGGATTAATGGGTCGAAACATGATGGTTCGAGTTCAACTCACCACTCAAATGGTTTTCGAGTAGAGGCGGTTGGGGATGGAGACGACTAGGAGGATGATGAGGATGATGAAGATGAGGATTTTGTGGAGGAGATAGATGAAGAGGGTGATGAGGAGGATGTAGTGGAGGTTCATGAAATAGAAGACAGTGATGAAGAGGAGGATGGTGTGGAAGATGACGAGGACGATGATGATGAGGATGACGATGAAGAGGATGAAGAGGAAGTTGATAATGATGATGGGGATTTTGCAGAGCCAGAGAGCACGGGGAGGTTAAATAGCACTGAAGGGGAGATTGATGGGCATGAGCAGGGGGAAGATGATGCAGATGAGGATGATGATGGGGAGACAGGGGAGGAGGAGCAAGGTGTTGAGGAAGATGGTGATTTTGATGATGACGAGGAGGCTGAAGATGAGGTGAAAATCTCTCCTGTTTTATATAGTTATGTTTTCATTTTAATGTGTTACATGTCATAATTGGTTGTTTGGTTAGAAGGCTTTCTTGCTAGTCTATATTAAGCGTAATTTATTCTGTTTTATTTGCTAATGTGTGGATTGTTTATTTTGTGTGTTAGTTTTGTTAATTTCTCTTGCTGTTTGTTTTCTAAGATATGCATGTCCTGCAATGTTTGACAATTTTTCTAATTTATGGTATTTTCTTGCTTCAATCTGCGTGATTCATGTGCTTATTGCTGCCGGAAGAATTGTCATCTTATTTGATCTCCATAACCATTGATCAATTTGATTGTTACACGATTGTTGCTGGAAATACCAGTAATTTTTGGTAGCATACTGGTTAGAAAGTCTTGTAATATCAGATTACCCCCAAAAGAAATATTAATTTCATGTTAGTATGAACCTGGAAGTTTTGATGCACAGGTGGTTTCCGTTGCCACCTTAGAAACCAAGCTGATTTTGTGATCCCTTTTTTTTTTTTTTTTTTTAAAAGTGGTAATTTCTTGTTAGATCAAGGTGGTGTGGAATATTTATATTATTTCTGCTTGAATTGTGTTATTCTACAGAAGAGTGACTAAAGGGGGATTAATCAGAAGTTATAAGGGAGGAATAACTTTTGGCACAATTTATTTGTGTGAGATCTTGACCATAATTTGGTTATTCTACTCGAGTAATGTGCATGCAAATACTCATAAAAAACATGCCTGCAAAAGAAGGTTCCAGTTGGATTACATTTTGATTGGTGAGAGATTTTGTGAGAATTCTCTTTGAAGTTTCTTTCTCAATTTTTATACTTGCAAACTGAATGCTAAGGCTCTAAGTGCAGTGATCTAGATTCACAATTTTCCTTGTCTTTTGTGGGTCTGCTTTTGTGCCATCTCTTTGTTCCTCCTTTTCTTCCTAATAGCTTATTGCTTTTATGCACAATCTCTTGATTTCCAAAATTTTGGAATCTAAAGTTTGCTGTGATCTGCCCTGTCCCCATTGAGCTTGTTTCTCTCAAAAGAAATTTCCTTGAACCTCTTTTTTTGGGGGGTTATCTCCTCCTGGCTTAAGATAGTATTATCAGTTACTTACAAAAGGGGTGTTGGATTATGATGTTTTTAGTCTTTCATCTTTTTGTTGGTTTTAAATTGATGTACTTTAATGGATCTCCTATCAATTCATTTTTTGGACTTTTACTTTTCTGCCATCATATCACGTAGAGGTGACCATGTCAATTGCCAAAGTATAGGGAATGTTACCTTGTCGAATCTGCTTATGTGCTATTCTGCATTTTCTTAGTTTTCATGAAGTGGTTTTCTATTTTCTGACTAAAAATTCGTTGTGTTTTTTCCCTTTTCTGTCATCATATATCATTATCTTCCTTTTTTTTTTTTTTTTACGGAAAGGGCTGTTGAATTTTGCTGCTAAGGTATATGCGTTGTTGAATTCACTGCGTTCCTTCCCACTTTTCTGCCTTGGTGTCGTAATGGTTATTTTATATATTTTTTCTTGCTGCTAAAAGATATGTTTTCTGAGTTCTATTGGCCTAAGCTTTATTGGCATATTTAAATGATCTACTTCCACAGATGTGTTTTATGGCCTTTTAATTTTATCTGAACCTTGGTAATTGTTTTAAGGTTAATTTGGTGATCATTATCTTGTTTTCTCCTTAAAATTTTGCATCTTAGGGTTTTGCAGTATATCAGTTGACCACCCTTTTCTAGGTTTGCTGAGCTTACTTGCCTAATTTTCATTTAAATGGCAGGAGGAAGATAATGGCAATGGCTACCTTGTTCAACCAGTTGGTCCTATTGAAGTAGATGATGCTGAAGGCAGTGATATGGAGCCAGTAAATGGTGATGAAGATCCTGAGTTGGAGGAAGAAGTTGAAGATGAAGAGGACGACTATGGCGAAGTTCAAGAGCTGCCACCTTCCTCCTCTCAAAAGAGGAAGCGGGACGACGATGATGATGATGGTGGTGAAGAAGACGACGATGAAGAGTATGCAAAGTCATCCAAGCACCGTTAGTGACTTTATCTGTGGTGGGTTTGACGAAAGAGATTAAGTTGAGGAATAGATTTGTCTGGAGGCTGGAATTAGTTGACTGTTGAACATCTTTTCATGGACAGGACACAAGTTTTGGTGGGAAGTTCAGGTCTGAGAGGTATACAAATGTTCAAAAGGTCGTTAGTAAATATTGGCCGTTGCCTTGTGATTCAAATGGCAGTTGATCTCCATGAGTAGGATGTTGGAGGGGAATTTGAATTGGGGGAAAAGCTAAAAGAAAACTTTGGCTAGTTCTACAATAGTAGTAGTGATAGAATTTGTTTTCCGCCTTTTTTCTTGAATTTAAAAAGGACGCTTTGCTTTTCCTGGGGGGGTAGTTTTTAATTGGCTTGTAAAACAGTCTTGTGGATAGTTGTCTCAGTTAAGTGTGACCGTTTATCATTGTGATGAGTCCGTCCTTGATCGAATTATGTCACATGCAGGAATTTGTTGTCAGCCTACCTTTACAGCTAATTTTTTTTGGCAACTTGCAGGTGGTGCCAGATGGCAGCTGTTTCTATGTCAATTGATTGCACCTAATCGCTGGTCTTCCAACCATGTGAGCGAGCCATGATATTGGTACCAACCGGTCGAGAATATCGTTAAATAAAGAAAAACAAAGAGGAGAAAAAAGCAATGGTCCCATAGGCAAATAAAGAAGGAAATTCTGCGCTTGTATTCTGCTATAAATTTTTATTCCACTTGCCTGTCCATCGGTTTGGTATATATTTATTCCGGATTTTTGGCCCTCGTAAAAGTATTTTGGGCTTGAAGCCCAAAACGGTGGGTGGTCAAATGATCAAAGAGGATACGTGCGCCTGGAATGGATTGAGTTGTTACGTTGGAAGGTGATTAAGGGAAGAGTAGGCCAGTGAGTGTACTGAATTTGGGCCGGCTTAAGCATAGCAGGCTTCGGCCTGGCTTGGGTCTTTGGTCCAAGTTGTCAATGCGCGTGAACTTCAAGCTGAATGGGATTCCTCTTTGTTTGTTTATTTATTTGTACTTGTAATTTTAAAGCAAATTACGAACATATGTAGCGCGTGCGCGCGTGGATTGTATTTGATTTCATGAACCTTGATTATTTAATTCAAAGGAATGATATACAACCTTCCTCCATTCTTCCTTCTTCACCCGGGCCCCTGCCCCCCTCAACCCAATCCCCAAAAATAGGGAATGCTATGAGGGTGATTATTGTCATTACATAAAGTGGTATTTCCTTGAGAGAATAGGTGCACGACGTAGTGGTCGAGAAATTACTGAATTTTAATCTCATTACGTGTCGAATTGTAATGTATTGGTCACTAAACCATTTTGGTTTATAGTGTAATTATTTTACGTTGTCCGTTTTCTATTTATATGTGCTCGGGCAACTTTTATGAAGTTGAAGTACAGTAATATAAAGGAGGCGGAACCAAATGAAGTGCTATTATTTTCATTAAAAAGTGCTATTCCCTTCGTTTAAAAATTTGAAAGATTTGATTTGAGACGTTCAAATCTTTTGCTAATTTTTATCTTAATTCAGACATCTATTTTCTTTTTAAATCCTTTAAAAATAACATTCACATAATTTAGAAATAAATAAAAGGTATTATAACTGACACCTTCTTATAATAAAAAATATTAAAAAGTTGCGATTAAAGAAAAAACGTTCTATAAAATAATACTCCACTATACTACTTTTGAAATAGCAAATAATGCCAATATCTTGCACATATATTGAGACGTCCCAGATAATTTGCCATTACACGACCAAATAATTCTGTAATGTTATTTCGCACACCCACTCTCCACCTCAGAGCAACTCAAATTTCATTACCTTTTATCCCCTCTCCCCCAACTCATTTTTTGAAGTCTCCAACAATGTTAATCTTCTTAGCCCCATCGTCTCCAAAGTGTCTTCCATCACAAAAACACAACTACAATCACTATGTCAATCCCAAAACAACTCACTCCCCTTCACAATTCAATGTCAAATCCATGGCTAAAGAAAGCAGCGAAACCTCAAGTTCCATTGAGAAAATTGCTATAGTAAGTGGATTAATATCTACACCAGTAATTGGATGGTCTCTTTACACTCTAAAAACAACGGGGTGTGGTCTGCCACCTGGACCTGGTGGTTCAATAGGTGCACTTGAAGGGGTGAGTTACTTAGTTGTGGTTGGAATTGTGGCTTGGTCACTCTACACTAAGTCTAAAACTGGTTCAGGTTTGCCCAATGGACCATTTGGTTTGTTGGGTGCAGTTGAAGGCTTGTCATACTTGTCATTGTTAGCCATTTTGGTTGTGTTTGGGTTGCAGTTCTTGGATCAGGGTTCTATTCCCGGGCCACTTCCTACAGATCAATGCTTTGGTTAAAATCTGTTTGATTACATTCAGTATATAATAATTTACTTCTTTTAATCCAAGAATCAGAATGAAGAAAAGATCAAAATAATTGTACTTTAAGATTTTACTTATGATTTTTGAGTTTTTTTTGGAAATGTAAGTCTTGGAGTAATGGTAAGGTTGTTTTCGTGTGATCTATATGTCATATGTTCGAGTCATAAAATCAATCAATAATGTTTACATTAGGATAACATGTCTAATCAAAGCCCCTTCAGGTACTCGCTAGATAATGGTTTGGAACAGGCCATTGAATCGTTATCCAATGTTATGTGGCCCTGGTTTGTCTAGGCAGGCAATAATCAAAGAGACACGTCGGGTTCTTTCCATTTCTTCCGGGGACAATGATGTAAATATGAGTTTTGCAAGTAACATCGTTTATTGTCACAATTCGAGTAAATTTGGTTGCTTTTAAAGTTTTATATTTTATTCCAACTTATTATTTACTCTGTATTATTTACTTCCGTGGACAAAATGTTCCTTGGCTTAACTTTGAATATGCATTGTTTGACCAAAAATATAGATTTTATTTCAACTAATTAAATTTATACGAATGAAGGTTAATCTTAGTTAATAATAATATCCTAAAGACAAAATTCCCGATGCTCTGTAATAAATAACACGTAGATCTGTCCCGAAAGCTATGATAGTGTACAATAGTTAATATTTAAGAACCCAAACAGAAGCAATGTATCATTAAATAGTGATGAACAACAATAAATAATATTTATGTAAATAGAACGAACGAGTCACCCGAGAAAGGATGAAATCGGTGGATGTTCTTTCTGACAATAATGAATGATGGACAAGCCTTTGAATATCTGAGTTATTCTCAGATCTAGTGAAAAAGCGTGGACAAGAATCTTAGTGAAAATGTTATTTTTGTAGGCTTGCAATAAGATCAGATTCTCTCTTTAAAGTCAAAGTATACTTTATAAATGAATATATGTCCCCTATCATTGTGTCTCTTTCTATTTATAGGGAACATGTTTTTAAAATCTCTAATAGTACAAGTGCAGAGAATATTCACTCTTTAATGTCCTATCTTGAAACTAGCCATTATAACTCTGTCAAGGATATTCGACCTCGACCTCGATCTTTGATTCCTCGACGTCAGTCTCTGCTGACTCTTCGACCACGACCTTCATTGTTAATTAGATCACTTTGACACGTGACAGCCTGTGAATGTTTTACTAATGCCATTTCGACTTAAGAGATAGATTTTGACCCATACAGTTAGTTCCTCCGCTTATTGAGACCAACTTCGCGGTGGGTTCGATGAGCGGATCATGTTATTGGTGGTTGAGCTAACCAGACGGACTACACAGGTTGTGGCTGTTGCAGCGAGCAGGCGACATGTCCCTCTCTGTGGGCCGCGTATTTCAAATGCTTCAAATTTTTTGGGTGATTCGCTGGAGTTATGTTGTCCACGGTCGGGATGACGTCATGATGTCATGCGTCATTATGACGTATATTCCCGATGCATCACTCCGTTTCGTGTGTGACCTTTGATTAGACCTGCCGTTTCGATTTCGGTGCCAATCATGATGAACCGTTTTTTGGTTTTAGTGCCATGCCTTTTATAAATAGAGATCCTTGAACCTGATTTTGGAGTTTAAACGCTCTAACATTTCAAAGCACCATACCTTTTTCTTGCTCTCTTCTTCTCTGCTTCATTGACCTGTGTTGTTCTTTATTCCATCTCGTTTGTTACTCTCGTCCACTGTGTTAAATCATGTCTAACGTGTCTTTTGATGCTAGTGAGGGGAGTCGTGTTGCTCCCTTGACAATGGTGTTCCCCTCCCATGGGGAGAGCATTCTTGCTACCGTTGAGGATGAAACCTTCCCGTCGGTGGAGGAAATAATCCCACATAACCCTGACTCCAGATCCGATTTCACCAAATCACCAGAGGCCAAGCCTAGAGCTTTCCGATCAGTGATGACGGTGAAGGAGTTAGCGGAGCTCAAGGCCAAATTCGGCCTTCCTAATCATATCGAGTTGATCCCGGTCGAAAGGGACACGGTACAGGTCCACCGTCTTGGATATTGCACCCTCTATACCTACCCCTTCCAAGTCGGCTATTCTTTCCCTCTCTTTTCGCCGGTGGAGGAGTTCTGTCGCCACTACGGCATTTGTCCTGCTCAGCTCGCGCTGTACGTCTATAAAATTATAAAGACGCTCACTAAGTTCGCCGAGCTGGACGAGGTCGAATTGACACTGCGACACTTAATACATCTTTTTGCCCCTAGCTTTTATAGGGGAACGATGTTGAACCTTCACCACCGAGGTGGCAAATGCTTGGTGGTGAAGATGGATGACAAGGCCAGTCGTCAATTCTGGTTTAACTTCTTTTTTGTCTGAACCGAGGACGTTGTGTCCAATGTCAACGACTTTTCTAAGGCTTGGAACTATACTCGTAAGTATCTGGTTTTTCTCTCGTGTTCGGTCCTGAATTCTGACTTCTTACCTTCTTCTTTTGCAGCCAAGAGCTCTCCTCCTCCTTTGGACGCTCATATTTCTGACTGGGTCGAGCGGCTCTTCCCTCACATCGTAAGGATCCGTGATTGGCCAAGTTTTTTCAAGAAATTCAGGCCTGCTCTCCCTTCGACTTCTAATCTCTTTTCTTTGATCGTGGCCGCTCCATTTCCTATTGTGTACGGATTCGTTTTGCTGAATTAATGCTGTCTTTTTCTCAGGCAGGGGTTCTCGGAGGAGCTGAGCACCAGTGCCCTCTTTTGAAAGGCGGTCGCTGCATCATCGGCTTTGGCTCCTGTTGCAACTACTACACTGTCCGTATCGGTCTCAACTTCTGCTGCCATAGTTGGGGAGCCCGTCTCTGTTCCATCTGCAACTCATGCTCCCCAACTTTACTATTTAGTTAATGAGGACGATGTCTCTCCTGATGACGGTAGTCTAATGCCTCGTAAGAGGAGATCCGTGGATACGGGGGGAGAGGGGCCGGCGGTCGTTGATATGGGAGGTTGTGGATTTTTCCTTTGTTGATATGGGGTCGTGGTGATAGAAGGAAGGCTGTTGCTGAGGAGGACGTTGGATCTGACTCCGACATGGATATAGATGAGTTGAGGATGATCGATGAGGGGCTTACTCAACTCGAAGTGAGGTTGGAAGGGGGTTCAAGGACTATTGCGATCCCGATGAATCGCAACCTTCTTGTGAAAACTGAGGAGATAATCCCCTCCCTCGGCCCTCTTTGTTCTGAAATTGAGGGTATGACCCTCGAGACTATAAATGACAGCACCCTGTCAAATAACATTGCTGGTCTTGCCCTTTGGGTAAGTATATTTGATGTCCGTTATTTTCCTTACGTTTTGCTCTTTCGTAGGCTCTAACTCTCTTCGTTCGTTTTGCAGATTGCCGTCCTGGAGATTGAAAGTGCTCGTAGGGAGCAGAGACATAAAGATATTTATGTGAAATTGAAGGATAAGTACTTCAAATGCCTTGAGAAGTACCGGGAGCTCCGATGCCGGCTCCGTGAAAGCGGCGATGCACGACAACTAAGGAAATACTTGAAGGAAAGAGATGAGGAGCTGGTGCGGGTAGTGTGGAAGTGCAACATCTTGGAAGGGACGTTGAGGAGAAAAGAGAAAGAGCTCGAGCTTAGCAGGGGGTAGAAGCCCAGTGTAGTGATCTCCAAGCTCAGATAGTCTTGCTGCGAGGTCAGCTTGAGAAGTGTTAATTCAGGGCATAGGCTCTTAGTGGCGAGGTCGCCGAGAAGACGGAGGAGCTAGAGAAGGCGGAGTCCGCTCGGTCGGAGGATTTGAGGAAGACGGAGTCCCTTGAGGTGGTGATACGAACTCTCCGTTCCGAGCGAGAGAATGATTTGTTAACGACCTTATTCACTTGTGGATTCCGACTTCCCCAACATTCCTTGTAACTTGTACGAAGAGTGGATTCATGCCGAGGCCCGACTAGATGTGCTTCGCGAGTTGCATGTAGCGGGCTCTATTTCTGCTGCAGACTTTGAGGGTGCTCGTGTCAAGGCTCGCGAGGCTCATATTGCTTGTGGTTATGATCCAACTACTCCTCGTCCTAGTGAGGAAGAAGAGGGGGATGAGGATTCTATAGATTACGATGAAGACGAGGCCTCGTATGATTCTATATACCTTCCGGGCGAGGATGGAGAGAGCGCTGGGGGCCAATCCGGTAAGGGTATCGGTGGTATGGGTGGTGATTCCGTTGAAGACCGAACTGGCGAGGGCACTGAAGGTCGCAATGGCGATGTCTAGTAGTTTTGTTTTTAACTTTTTTGTGTTTTTTGCCGGCATCTTCAAGAGCCTTTGTAAAAAATTTAAGTATGAAATATCAAAGTTGTTCCTTACATCTTCTTCTATTCCTGTGGTTTATTTTCTATACTTGATTATTTTTTGCTTCTATTGTTTACTCGTTTCACTTTTTGTCCTTCTCATTATTATTGTCTTTTAGCTGGCCGTAGCCTTGGAGCCGAATATTCATGGGTCATATCAGCCCTTTGTTTATATAGGTCGAGTGTGTTTCTTCGTTGAGATTTGGCCGAGGGCCGATAGTGTTATTTGTACTTGGTTGATCTTGACCTTTTTTTAAGTTGTTGCTGATGGCCGGTAGGTGTTTGTTCGAGCTTGGTCGAACTTAGCCTTTTTTTATTCATGGCTAAGGGCAGTAGGTGTTTGTTCGAACTCGGTCGAATATAACCTTTCGTTAAATCGCATCCGAGGGACGGTAGGTGTTTGTTCGAGCGAGGTTGAACATAACCTTTTCATTAAATCACGCCCGAAGGGCGGCAGGTGTTTGTTCGAGCGAGGTCGAAGGTAACCTTTCATTAAATTGCGGCCGAGGGCCGGTAGGTATTTTTTCGAGCGACGTTGTAAATAACCTTTTCGTTAAATCGCGGCCGAGGGCCGGTAGGTGTTTGTTTGAGTGAGGTCGAACGTAACCTTTTTGTAGTCGTGGCCGAGGGTTGATATTGTTCGAGTGAGGTCGAACATAACCTTTTCGTACTCGTGGCCGAGGGCCGATAGGTGATGTTCGAGCAGGGTCGAACATAACCTTAATACCAAAAAGGTGTCCTGATAAACGTAAGTTTCTTATTACTTCAAGATTGTTACTTTGGTTACATACTTGGAGAGAGTTACAGATTTTGTGTGTTGGCTGGCGTTCCAGTCCCAGTCCCAGTCTACCTAGTCCCTTCATTGTTTGACTTGGAGAGTATTGAGGAGTTGAGCAATGAAACAGTAACAATAGTCCCTTTCTCGCGTACTTCGACGAAGTGTTCCCTTCGCCGCCTCGTTAAAAACCTCCTTGAGAAAACCTAAATGGGACAAAACTCAAGTGAGGGAAAAAGAATACAGACTTGGGGGACATTTTTTCTCTTAGAAGTTGAAGTATTTGA